CAGTAGATGAATGGATAAATAAAGTGTGGTCCAGACAATGGAATATTTTTCAGCATGAAAAAGAATGACTTACCAAGCCATGAAAAGACATGGGAGCACCTTAAATGTATATTGCTGAGTGAAGAAGCCAGTCTGAAAAGGCTCCATACTGTGTGATTCTGACTCTACGGCTTTCTGGAAAAGGCATAACTATGAAGATGGTAAAAACAGTGATTGCCAGGGGTGGGCAGGGAGGCAGGCAGCTCACAGAGGACTTTCAAGGCCATGAAACTTCCCTGCGTGATACCATTAAGGTGGACACCCATCACACACTTGTCTGAACCCCAGAACGTGCAACATCAAGAGTGAACCCTAACGTAAGCGACAGACTTGGGTGACAACGATGTGTGGTTGTAGGGTCATCAGTCATCACAAACGTCCCCCTCTGGTGGGGGTGTTGATAATGGGGGAGACTGTGGGGGGGGGCAGAGGATGTACAGAAACTCAACCTTTTGTTCAATTTTGCTGTGAACCTAAAACTTCTCTAGAACATAGTCTATTAAAAAAAAAAACAGTGTCCCTCAATTTGGGTGTGTCTGATGTTTCCTCGTTAGATCCGGGCCGTGCATTCCTGATTGGAACCCTGCCTAGGTGACATGTGGCCGGCTCAGGGCCTCCGGGGGGGACACACACACACAATGCCCTCTGCTCTTGGCGGTGGTGTTACTTTAATCCTTGTTCTAGACATTGCCTGATTCTTCTACTGTATGGGTACTCCCCCCCCGCCCCCGCTACTAATAAACATTCTGTAAAGAGACACTTTGAGACTATGCCAGTATCTTGCCCCTCCCCCTGGATTTCGAGTCCGTTGTCCTTCCGGGGACAGCCCCTCCGTCACCTCTGCCTCCCCAGGTGGGGCACCGGAGTGGGAAAGGTGCTGACCTTGCTCACAGTTGGGTGCTGCTCTCCCGGCCAGCACCCAGCCTTCCCCATCTGGCCCGGCTCACGTCCTGCACTCACAGCCCATCTCTTGTGCGGGCAGCCAGACCCTCTTTTGCAGAGCAGGGCTCCGGAGACTCATCTCATTTCCCGTCGCGTTAAGCTTCTCTTCCTCGTTGCAGCCGCCGAAGCTGCAGGCGAGGTCAAGGGGACCATCATGTCCTGTCACCCGGGGGAGGCCCCCAGCGGGCTTCAGGGCCGGGGGTGGTGATACCTTGAGGGCCAGCCTGCGGTGGGCTCGGGAGGAGCCTGCGATAAGATGTTCAGCAGTTAGGGCAGCTACTTTGAGGTCGGGGGGCCGGGAACCCACAGGAAGTGACTCGGTGCAGAGCTGATGTGCCTCTGTCCCGGCAGCCATCCTGGGACAGGAGCTCGGGCTGGTGAGGCTGGGGCCATGTCGGCGGAGTGCTGGGAGCCCGGGCCGGGGGGCACCCTTGGGCCTCGGGCGCAGGCCCGTGCCCCCCTGGGACCGCGTCCGCCCCCTGGAACCTGCCCCGCTGGCGGGCTTGGCTGGCCGCCGCGGTGCTCTGCTACATCAACCTCCTGAACTACATGAACTGGTTCATCATTGCAGGTGAGGAGGCGACGGTGGGCGGCGTCCTGGGAAGCACCTGCTTGCCACTCACTCATGGTCGCCTGCCACCAGCCAGCACAGCGCATCCACGGTGCCCTCCGTCCTGCAAACTGTCTCCTTGTGGAGTACATCCCTGCCGGAGGGAGTTTCAGCCAAGCCCGGGGGGCGGGGGGGGCATCGCCTTCCCGATCCAGCCCCAACCTAGGCCTGTGCACACAGGTGTGGGTGCGCGGTGGCGGTGGGGGGGCGGCGAGGGCCGCAGGGAGGGCCTTGGCGAAGGCCTGGAGGTTCTGGGTGGAATGCTGAGTGAGGTTGTGGAGGGCAGGGCAGCCGGGCCCAGAAATCGCTGGCTGGGTGCTTCTGGGACAGTGGGCTGTGTGCAAGCCTTGCACATTTTGACTTCCTTCCTGGAGGCCCCAGGGCTCAACCTGCTCTTCTCGTTACTCACACATTCCCTTAACTCATTCATTCCTTTATTCATTCCAGATTTAACTCTCTTTTCTCTCTTCATCACTGATACATTCAAGACTGACTGACTGAATGTGAACTCTGGGGCTGGGAGACCCAGGGAGGGTCTGTCTGGTGGTTCCGAAGCTCAGGAATGCCCATGTCGTGGGGCAGAGGGAAGCCCAGGCTGGGCTGGGGTGGGGGTCAGGGGGCACTGCAGCAGCCCTGAGGCCAGGACCCTGGTGCACCAGAGACGGGCTCAGCCCACCAGGCAGCAGCTGTGCGGCGAACAGGATCCGATCTGCAGAAGCGTGCAGACGCGAGTCCATCTCCGGGGAGCTCGGAGGGCACACACAGACCAGAGCAGGCTGGACGTTCACGGGGCGGCCCCAGGACAGCGACTGAGGGTTCTGGCCGAACTCAGAAGAGGGGACATTTGGGTTGGGTCTTGAAGCTGAGAAAGTTGGCGAGGCAGGAAGTAGAGTGAGCTGAGGGTGTTGGGTGAGGGGTCGGTGTGGGCACACGGAGTGGGGGTGTGTGCTCTGGGCAGAGGTGACCAGAGGTGGGACAGCAGGGAACTCTTCTAAAAGGGTCTTTGGGGCCAGATCACAGGCTTCGTGTTTGCCAGGCTGGGAGCTTGGGCTTTCTGTTGGGGCAATATGGAGCCACAGACAATTTTTGGGGTGGGGGGACTAGAATGAGATGGGTGCAGACAGAACAAGATGTGGGGCATCCAGTTCCGGGGCTACTGCTGTGTAGTAGGTGGAGGCCCAAGAGGGTGTGTGGGTGTGTGGGCCGAGGGCCGGAGCTGAGCGGGGAAGAGGTAGAGAAGCAGAGTGTGTGTGGGGTGGGGGAGTGCCTGGAGCCCTGCAGGCTGGGGAGGCCCCGAGTCCGGCCAGCGGAGGCCCTTCCCTGTTGGGACTTCCTCTGGCTGGGTGGAAACAAGGCCGAGGTTGCTGGCTTGGATGAAGGAGGCTGGAAGAAGTGAAACCACGCAGAGTGAGCGGCAGGGACGGCTGGGGGGGCAGGTGGTTTTCACATGCTCTTGTGGGAAGTGGCTCTGTGGGGGCAGATGACGGGATGGAGGGGGGAGGCGGGGTCCACTCAAGGCCCCAGAGGGCTGGGAGGAGCCCAGGAGCAGATAAAACCAGGGGCAAGTCCTCACTGCTGAGGATGAAGGATGAGTGTGATCCTACAGAATTTTTAACTCTTTGCTTTGCTTATTAGTGTTTCTGTTTTTTCTCTCCAACGAATACGTCTTATTCGTGTAATTAAAAGTATTAAAAAGGAAGGAAAGACATACAGGCTGGTATGGTTGCATGTTGTGGTTTTCGGGCCCAAAGCCAATGTCTGAACAAAATTCTCATACGGGGCTTCTCTGCTTCTTGGGCCTTCCTCTGCCTGCTGGCGGGTCTCAGAGGGGTGGGAGGGGGCTGCTCCCCCAGCTCTGAGGGGGACACCTGCAGGGCCCAGCTCAGGGGCTGGGCCCTCCGCCGGCTCATAACTGAATGACAGCGATGATTGCTCTTCTTCCTAATGATGGGGCCTGAGCCTCCCAGCTCAGATAAGCAGGTGCCTCCACTCTGACTAACCCTTGCTGAAGCACTGCCAAAGGCTGAGGGGATTTCGGGGAATAGGGCCTGCTTCCTCTCTCTGTGTTGGGCTGAGTGCCCACTGCATTGGCCTGTGGCCCAGGGAGACCTTGGAGGGGCTCCCGAGGCCCGGCTGGCGTGGAGAAAGAGCCTGCCCCCCTCAGGGAGTTGGGACCCAAGTGGGTCCTTCTCTGAAGCTCTCACGGGCACCATCTGTCTGCTCATGCCTCTGGAAGAACGTGCTTGCGTGTGCGCATGTGCAGCCCAGGGCATGTGTGTCTTTGTATGTCCGTGCTCACGCATGTATGTACATCCACGAATGTCTGGAGCTGGTACCTGAGCAGGGCTGCAGCGCTGCATAGTCATTAACACTGTAGTCTAAGCGAGCTGCGCACCGTGTAGCAACTCGGAGCTGCCGGTCGCTCTGATCAGGATGTGTACGGCAACCCTGCACACGTGTGTATGCGAGCAGGCCTGCGGCGTGCAGACTCCGTGGGCGTGTGTGTGGGTCTGCGCCTCTGCGGGCACGTTTCTCTGGGCATGTCCGTTTGTACGTACGGATGCGGATCTGCACGTCTGTGCATCTGTGTCCCGGTGGATGCTTGTGCATGAACACGGGCGTACGTTTGGGCCTCTGGGATACGTGTTCCCGTGTGTGTTGATGTGTACCCGTCTCTCTGTGCGCGTGTGGGCTTGCATGTGCGTGGTGTGGCAGAGAGGGGATGAGAGCAGTGGGCCCAGAGCCACTCTGTGCTGCACTGGTCAGCTGGGGCCCTATCCCACAGGCGGGGGCAGCTGCCCCTAGAGGCCCAGGAGGCCACTTCCCATGTCCTGAGTGCTGTCCGTCTGTCCACAAGGATGCTGCTGGACATACAGAACTTTTTTCAGATCAGCAATAGCAATGCTGGTTTGCTTCAGACAGGTAAGGAGCGAGTCCCTGCTCTGGAGCTGGGGCCCAGGGCTCGTGCTGGGGCAGGGGTCAGGCTGAGCCCCACCGCGTCCCCTGCGAGGGCCAGTGTGGGTGGGAGGAGGGGAGAATCTGGGCCGAGCCCTGGTGCCTGAGCAGCCGTTTCGGGTTTGAGCGCAGGGGCTGCGAAGGAGCAGGGGGTGGGGCTAGGAAGGCTCCTGAGCTTCAGATCGTGATGAGTGGTCACTCATCCCTCCCCGGCTCAGCTGGGTGCCTGATGCTGGGGGGGGCTGAGAAGTCCTGCCGTGGGCTTTCCCTGAAAAATCTGGCCCTCAGAACACACACAGACAGACAGACGAGATCTGTACTTGCCACATGGGTTCATACGGGGTCTGGGCCCACAGGGCCGGCAGTCAGTCCAGGGGCGGGGAGCAGCCACACCTCCAAGGTCACAAACACACACACACACACGTGTGCATGCACTGTCACGGCATGGGGTACACACCCAACATGTAACTAGCACACGCGTGGCTCCTCCCTGTGGGCCCCGTCCCCTAACAGTCTGCTACCCCAACATCTCAGAACAAGTTTCTGCGGGGACCCCTAGGGATACACAAAAACTTTCTAGGGACCACATGAGCAGACTTTTGAGAGAATCCACTTACAGACCCTCAAGGCTGTGTTTTTCTTTCCTAAAATGGACCTGCTTGAGAAAAAGTCTCTTGTTCTTCCTCCCTGCCTCCCCTTCAGGAAGGAAAATGTCTGTCTTCCCTATTCTGAGTTTACCTTTGGTGCCCTGCCCTGGGGTGGGAAAGCCTCCCGGGTGCCAGACAGAGGGGACCCCACAGATGCTTGGCTTCTGCGGGGGAGGCCGTGCAAACCAGGCAGAGAGAACGACACAGAAACTTGGGATGTCTCCTCCAGGCCACAAGCCCATGGCAAAGTGTCAAGCCTTATCTGGCTGTCCTGCTGGTGTGACAGGCTACTATTTATCTACGATTTAGAATTCAGAAGTGAGATGTTGTCTCACGGATGGGTGTCAACACATTCATTTCAATTAGAAAAAATGAAGCCAACGTTTTAACATCTTTCTTACAGGCAGGCAGTCCGATTTGTTGGATTGATTTGGCAAATAAGGACTGGTTTTACTTGTTAGAGCAAATGTCCGTAGATGGCAGACATTTCCCATCAATTGAATGAATGTGATCTGCAGCCCCAAGTATTTGGATGAAGATGTAGTTAAAAAATACAATAATGATGGAAATCACATCCTTTGCAACTATTTAAACTTACGATGAAAACGTTTTAAATGTCGGCCGAAAACACGTGAAGGGTACATGGGTTGATAAGCTTCTTTCTTAAAGCACTGGGGCAAAGAGCCTGCAGACCTCTGCTTTAGACCACGTGTCTTTTCCAACCGCTCTTGTCTCGAGGCGGAGGCCAGCAGCGGCTGCTGACCTTCGAGGAGCCAAAGTGAGACCCTCTGGGCTCAATCCCCACAACCTTCTAGATTAAACAGATAATGGTGGTTGAGTCACGATCTGCCTTCCCTGGTCCTCACCTTGGTGAGCAGGATTATTACTACAAGGCCTCCATAAGTGAGCTGCATGGAGAGAGAAGCGTGTGCACGTGTGTGCAAGTGTGTCCCGGGGCTGTGCACGGTGTGTGAAGCAGCCCAGAGAGGTGTGTGGGGGGTGCCAGGGGATGGAGGCCTGCCGACCAGGCTCTCTCTCTCCAGTGACCTCCCGGGTGGCGGTGAAATGGCCCCAAACCCCACCCTGCTGTTTGTCCACAGGGCTCAGAGTGGAAGAAGGCCCTGTCTCAAGTGCCCCTGTTATATCAGCTCATTTACCCTTCACAACAACCCCACAGGGCAGGGATTATTATTATTATTATTGTGCCCATTTCCCCCATGACAAACCTGGGGCACAGAGAGGCTATGGGCTTGCTGAAGGTCACACAGCTGGGATTCGAATCCGGGCAGCCATGTGTAGAGTCCTTCTCTTCACGCCCTGCTCCTTCATTCCTTCCCCTTTGTCTCCGAAGTCATCTGAATCTGGAGCTGCCAGGAGCAGAGGAGTGCACCAGCATGAGTGTGCCTTCCCCCTGGGGGCAGGCTTCTCCATCTCAGGGCATCTGCGGGGTGAAGTTGTTTATATCCTATAAGGGATCCCTGCCCCAAATCTCATAAAAGGATTAGAAGATGTAGGGAAATATTTTTATAACCTTGGGGTAGAGAAGATATGCCTTAAGAAGACAAGAAACAATCCTGGCAGGAGGAAGATTGATACATTTGAGTACAAGAAAGCTAAACTCTTTTGTATGATGGTGGTTTAAACTATAAACGCAGTTAGTAACAACAATGAATAACATTTATGAGGCATTTACATAAAGGTAGGCACTGCCTTTTATATGCTTTATTTCATTTAAAATCTCCATAACCTTCTGTGGGAGGCACAATTACTGTCTCATATCATTGATTCGAGGGGAACAGAAGAGTTAAGGAATTTGCTCAACGTCACACAGCTAGGTAGTCTTTGGTTCAGGATGTGAGCCCAGGTAGTTTAGCCCCAGAATTTGCATTGTAAATCCTTAAAACAAATATAAAGGACTGGGAGACATGATTTGCAAACCACAGGGAGCCCCATAGAAAAATGGGCAGAGGACGTGAGCACAGGAAGCTGCTCAGACTCACTGGACATAAGGACGATGCAGATTAAAACATCAGCGAGACACCGTCTGCTTTTCAACCGTTAAATGAACAAAAACAATATGATTGATCCTATCAAATGTCAGCAAGGGAGCATGAACTTCTGTGCCTGTGTAAATGGATACAGCCTTTTTGGAGGCCTATTTTGGCAGTAGCTATTAAAATTCTAAATACCACTGACACCAAAGACCATTCTCTGTGGAGTATTAGGTCGAACCATATTAAATTGCCGTTTTTTTGTAGGTCAAAACTGGCCTAATTTCTGCAACTGCATATGGCTCAGCCTAATACTAGAGCAGGTCGGGGAGAGTGGGAGGGGCTGGGAGGGGCTGGAACCTGAGCTGGGACGAGTCTGGACGCTCATTAGGCTCGGGCCATGTCAATCATCTGCGCTCAGCGAATGGAGGCCCAGGTGTGGGGCGGGGCCTCCGGTGGAGGCGGGTCCAGGCCGCCTCGCTCCACCTGCGGAGGGCGGAGGCGGTTTGGAGCGGCGAGGGTACCTATGCGCAGGGCAGAGTCGTGCAAAAGCGTGGCCGTTTCTTTGTCCTCGCAGAGCAGCAAACGTGTTCACTAATCCAGTCGCCAATTCAGAAGGGTTTACTTTAAAAAGTGGTACAAATACAACCGACAGTGTCAGGGGAATGGTCTACCTACTTCGGAAAACCAGGGCTTTTCCAGCCTCCGGGAACGACCGCTCCTTCTAGACCCTGCTGGTCCGCAGAGCAGGCCCGGGCAGACCTCCCTCGCCTCCCGCCACCCCGCCCCCAGCAGGGGTGTGAGAGCAAAGTCAGACCAGCCCCGCCGGGCGCGAGGAGGGGGGGGAGTTGTGCAAAGACAGGGTCCTGGTGGGGAGCACTGGGGGCCCCCTGTGCTGCTCCAGGACAGGCTCCACCTTCACTTGGGGCTCAGCCTCCCAGGCGCTTGGGGGGCTGCTCGGAGGGGTGCACGGTGAGCAAGCCCAGCCCCTCAGCTCCTCCTCCAGTGCCCCTGACTCTGGGCGTTGGGTTATGTGTTAGGCGGGGATGGGGGCTTCACCGTATCCTTTCCTCCTCCTGGCCCCCACCCACTGCCGCTGCCAGCTTGTGGCATCTGAGCCAGGTCCCTTCTGGGGGCCTGCGGGCCCGTCCGCCTATCCGCCACAGTGGGGGACGCATGTGACCCCTGCCTGTGCCCCCAGTCTTCATCTGCAGCCTGCTGCTGTCTGCACCTGTGTTCGGCTACCTGGGCGACCGGCATGGCCGCAAAGCCACTCTGAGTGTTGGGATCCTGCTCTGGTCGGGGGCAGGCCTCTCCAGCTCCTTCATCTCGCCCCAGGTAGGTCCCCTCACCCCTGCAAGGCCGCCGGGGTCCTGCCCCCACCTGCTTCCTCCCTTGGAAAGCGGATGGGCCTGCCTCCATACATTCCGGGCTCCCGGCTCGCTGCAGGGTGCCTTCCAGGGCCTAGAGAGCGCACCTCCTTGGATTCTCTCAACGGGACCCTTCCTCTCCTGCACCTCCCACTGCTGCCTGTGACCGCTTCTGTCTGGGGAACCCGCCTGCCTGGCAAAGGTGGAGCCCAGAAAAAGGCTTCCCCTGGGCCTGGGGTCCCCGGGAGCAGGGGCCACCCGTGTGATGCAGGGGGGTCCTGGGCTGGGAGGCCAGCCAGGGGTCTTTAGCCCCATCCCCACCTCCTCCCCCGGGGGCACGTGTCATCACTCCGGTCCCTTGCCCTGTGGGTGATCCCGGACTCACTGGCGTCTTGTGTCAGCATTCCTGGCTCTTCTTCCTGTCCCGGGGAGTCGTGGGCATAGGCTCGGCCAGCTACTCCACCATCGCGCCCACCGTCCTGGACGACCTCTTTGTGAGGGACCAGCGGACCCGAGTGCTGGCCATCTTCTACATCTTCATCCCTATTGGAAGGTTGGTACCACCCAGGACCCACTTCCCTAGGTGGTGGACTGAGGCCCACAGGAACCAGAACAGAAGCTGGGCTGGGGATGGGATTTGAATCCCAGCCTGCCTCCTTCCCTGCCGGGTCCGTTTACCCCTCTGGGCCTCAGTTTCCTCGTCTGTACAGGGAGGTGAGAACACTGGCCAGTGGGCTGTGTTAAGGGTTAGGGTTAATACAGGTGCTCCCTCTACCCTAGGACACTCAGGAAGGCCTCCTTGGGGAGCGTGTGGGGCTGGGCCAGGCATCCCCCGGGGGGGGGGGTGTGGGTAGGTCAGAGTGGGATTTGCCATCCAACCTCTGAGCTCTGATCCAGCTTTCCTGGAAGTGCCTGACTCAGGCAGGGCAGCATTGGGCAGTGGTGCAGGGGACGGGCCTGGAGCCAGAGGTCACCAGTGACCGGACCAAGGGCAGTGGACATCTGGGCCTCACGTGGCTCACTTTGTCCGTGGCAGGGCTGTGAGTAGCAGAAAGCCAGCTCCTTGGGGTGGGGTGCCCAGCACAGGCTGGCTTGGCAGCCTTGGACCTGCCCCCACCCTCACTGCCCATCCCCCTTGGCCCTCTGTTGCAGCGGTCTGGGCTACGTGCTGGGGTCGGCCGTGTTGCAGCTAACTGGGAACTGGCGTTTGGCCTTCCGAGTGAGTCCAGCCTCCTCTTCTTCCCTCCGATCCCCCTGGGCCGGCAGGGACTTTCCAGCCTCCAGTGGCCTTAGCCACTTGGAACGGTCACTGGCGCCGTGGGGGGGTGTCAGACATTGGCAGCTCAGAAATTGGATGGAACACGACTGTGGAGGTCACAGCCCTGGGTTCAGATGCTGGCTGCTGGGTTTGCTAGCGGGGTGAGCTCAAGCCAGTGGCTTGTAACGTGGGTGGGGTGGTCCGGGCTGCATCATGGAATCTCGGGGAGGGACAGACAAGGGTAGGAGCAGCCCAGGGTAGGACGGGCCTGGCGGGTAGAGGTGGTGAGTCCTCCTGGTCGGGCTCATGGGCCCCAAGGGAGTAGTGTCTACTGCACACATTAAAGGAAGTCCCAAGGGGACCCTACTCCCCAGAGACGCTGTAGTCCTAGGTGTGAGGGCACAGCCAAGAAATGAGCCCCCTGCCCCACCCCCAGGGCACAGAGCCTCCCAGACACTGGGCCACATGGCTCGTCACCGGCAGGATCTCCGGGGTCCAGGGCATGTATGTGTGGTCCTGAGCTTCCTGGGCCCTCCCATGCCCAGGTCATGCCTTGCCTGGAAGCCGTGGCCTTGATCCTGCTTATCGCGCTGGTTCCAGACCCGCCTCGGGGAGCTGCTGAGAAGCAGGAAGAGGTGGCCGTGGGGGACCCGAGGAGCAGCTGGTGTGAGGATGTCAGGTACCTGGGGAGAAAGTGAGTGTCCCTGCTCCTCCCTGCACGTCCCTGAGAACCCCCGTCTGCCCCAGCAGCCCTGCCCTGCCTCTCTCCGCCTCCAGGGAGCCCCAATGTTCATAGTCTTCTTCCTCCTCTGAGCTCCCACTCACCAACTGAGGTGCCCCTCCCTCACTTGGAGGCCCCCTTCTCGCTTTGCCATGCGACAGGATGGGGCTGGGAGGGAGGGAAGGGGGAGGCAGTGTGAGTTTTGACTCTGGCTTGGCCACTGCTTTATCCCCGAGTGACCTGAGACTTGGAACTGTACTCCCCTCATTTATTCAATGGACGTAATTCTCCCAGGGTTGCCGGGAGGATGCTGGGAGTTAATCACTCACCTCTGCAAGCCTGTGGGAGCGCGTCCATCCTCTGTCCCAGGCATGGGTGTGGGGGCAGACAGGAGTCAACTGCACTCCCAGGCCTCATGATTTACTGGAATGTGGGGCGCGGACGGGACCCAGCTCTCTTTGATACAGAGCCATGCCCGGTGGAGGGCACTTGGAGGAAGGTGGGGGCAGCGGGGACAGTGCCCTGGAGAATGTGCTGTTGGCTTTGGGCCTTCTGGGATGGGGAGAGCTGGCCCTGCAGAGAGGAGGGAGGAAGGCCCAGCGAGAAGGAAAGTGTGGAGGGGGTTGTGCAGGGCTCTTAGGCAATGTTGGGGAGGATCCAGAGCCTGGAGCCCTCCAAGCGCCTGGGTGACCAGAGTTTCCAGGCGTGGGGGCAGGGCCTGACAGGAGCCGCTGGGCCCTGCAACCCCAGCCCTCTCCCGGGGGTCTCAGCCAGGACACTTTCTCTTGCAGCTGGAGTTTTGTGTGGTCGACCCTTGGGGTGACCGCCATAGCCTTTGTGACTGGAGTGCTGGGCTTCTGGGCCCCCAGGTTTCTGCTCGAGGCCCATGTAGTGCATGGGCTGCAGCTTCCCTGCCTCCAGGATCTGTGCAACAACCAAGACAGGTGAGGGGCCTCCGGGAGGCGTGGGCCCCTGGCCCAGGTCAGGGGGCTCTTGGCAGGCAAGTGCTCAGGCGGTTCTGAGCCCCAGAGCTCAGTGTCTCAGTGAAGAACCCAGGACTTGGGACCTAGGCGGCCCAGCAGGCCAGGATCCAGCTCTGGCTGAGCTCCTGGGGCTCTGGGTGGCCACAGGCCAGCAGCCTCATCTCCTCTGGGCCAGTTTCCCCACTCTTGGGCTGCTGTGGGGGTCCGGAAGGCACGTGGTAGAGGGGTGAGCCTTCTCTGGGGCCTGTGGGGCCTGTGGGGTGATGGGACCTGCAGCGTGAGGCCATTTTACAGATGGCAAACTGAGGCACTGGGATGTCTCGTCACTTACGGGGCTCAGGCAGTTCACACCTGCACTCATGTGTTCTCTGCCTCGTCTGGGGCACCAAGCGTCCTGGGAAAGCTGCCAGGACGTTGGGGTGGAAGATACAGCCATGCGGAGGGCAATGTCCTGCTCCCACCTCATCCTGCACTGTGCCCAGGCCGACACCTCTCCAGCTCAGCCCCAGGCCCCCGTCACTCCCTTTCTCCTCCTCCTTGTCTCCGCCTTGCTCCTCAGTCCCTGCGGCCCTGCTCCCCGAGGCTCAGAGACACGGGCTGTGGTGCGTGACACCTGTGTTCCCCCCTTCTCCCCGGCCTCCCCTCTGTCTCCATCTCCCCCACTGCAGCCCAGAGGGGGCTTCACGTGATGTCCAGAATGTCCCACGCCCTCTCACTTGTCTGTGCCTCGGCCTGAGCTGGGCCTTCTGCCTGAAGCTCCCTTCCCTTTTCCATGGTTACTTCTTAAGCGATCACGATCACGTTAGTTCAGGCCCGAATGAGGAGCATTTTACCTGAAAAACCCTCTGAGGGTTTATGATAATGAACCCTGTTGTTCCTGTATTATGGAACGAGGAGATGGAAGATCAGAACGGTTAGTGAGTTGTCCAAGCAACAGAGCCAGCCTCAAACCCATCTGACTCCGGAGCTGGTGTTCCCAGGGCCACATCCTGGAGCGTCTGGAGCCGCCTGGGGCTGCTGGCGACGTGAACATCCGCGGCCTCCGGGTAGACAGCAGGTGCTCAGGGGAAGCATCAGGGAAGGAGTGAGGGAGGGCATCCAGTGAGATTGTGCTGTTGGTCTTGGCTCTACTCCTAGCTTGTTACCTCCCGGAGACAGAGACCAGGGTCTCAAAGTCCCACAGCAGCCCGGACACACGGGGGAGGGGCCCCGCGGCAGCCCGGACACACGGGGGGGCACAGGACTCACGTTCTCGCTTGGCGCTCGCTGGCTCTGCATCCGTGGGCAAGTCAGTTCCCCTTTCTCAGCTTCAGCCTCGTCCTCCGACCTGGCCCCTCATGGACCCCGTGTGGCCAACGACGTCCTAGGGCTCACGTGGCAGGTGGCACAGACGTGGTGTTTAGAACAACAGAATCGTTCGAGGTCCCGAGGCCAGGCGTCCAGAGCCAAGCTCTGCCAGGCCGCACCCCCTTCAAGTCCCCAGGGGACCGTCCTGCTGCCTCGTCCCCTCTGGGTGCTGCAGCGTGCCCTGGCTTGTGGCCACGTCCACAGTCTCTGCAGCCATGGTCCTGTTGCCTTGTCCTCTGTGTCTCAAGTCCCCTTTGGCTTCCCTCTCATAGAGACGCTGGTGGCTGCCTGTAGGGCCCCTCGAATATGGACCCTTAACGTAATCCCAGTGACAAAGTCTGTTTTGCCGTAGAAGGTAACAGTCACAGGTTCCAGAGATTAGGACACAGGCACCTTGGGGGGCATTATTCAGCCTGCCACAGAGTAGGTAGAAGTCCCGGTGTCGGGGTTCTGCACCCACCTCAGCTATTACTACACCCTCCGTGGTTGGGGTAAGCCCCAGGGTGAGGGTGCGGCAAGGGCAGGCAGCTCCAGGACACAGGAGTCCAGCTCAGGCTCTGGGAGTTCTGGGACGGGTGCATGAGCTCGTGTGCTCACATTTGTCTGTGCTGCTAGCATGGAGTCAAGAAAGTAAGCCGAAGCCAGGGTCTGTCCTCCAGGACGTCACAGTCTGGTGAACGACCTTGATGGTGGAAACACAGAGGGTGCTCTGGGAGCCGAAGGGAGTGAAGGAATGTGCAGAGGGGCAGGGGAAGGCATCTCCAGAGAGGGGATATTTGTGAGGGGTCTTGAAGGATGGGTAGAAGTTTGGTAGGTGGGAAAACTAGTGAAGAGTGTCCAGATGGAGGAGTGAAAGTCTGAAGTGGGGACAGAAACTCGTCTGGGGGCAGAAGAGGTTGGAGCTGGGGGAGGGGGTTGAGGTCAACCAGGGTCAGACCATGAAGGGCCACGTTCATCATAGTGGGTTGGCACAAATCCAGTGGGTGTCTGAGAGCCGGTGGAGGGTTTTCGGCAGGGGTCGGGCAGATCTGTATTTTAGAAAGCACCCTCAGGGGACCCGTATGGAGTCTGCTCTGGAGGGACAGCTTTCCCCAGGGGGTGTGCAGGGGGCCAAGTGCAGCTGAAGGAGGGCCTGGGAGTGCAGTTAGGAGGGGGCAGCTTGAGAGGGTGCCAAGACCATGTGGAACAGTGGGGTTCAGGAGGGCGTGGGCAAAGCTCGATAAGGGCCGGGGGATCCTAGGAGCTCAGTAAATAAATGTTCCCATGTCTCCATTCCCATTCGTGTGGGGGCAAGAAGGCGAGGAGGTTGGGGCCGGAGTGGGACAATTGAGATTTCTGAGGGGCCAGGTGGGATGCTGAGAGGTTGGAGAAGCTCACTGGAGGTGAGGCATGCTGGGCCGGTCACCCCCATGGCCGGTGATGTCCCCAGGATGAGGCAGGAACGGGGGAGGGAGTACACGGGTCAGGAGCCTTGGTTCGGAGGGACGGGGAGGGGCTCACAGCCACATTCCCCGTAGGTACTCGGTCCTGCACGGGGGGCTGAACCCCAGGGCAGGGCTGACCCCACCTGGCTGACTAACCCTGCTCCGTTCTTTGTCCTCAGCCTGATTTTTGGGATTCTGACTGTGGTGACTGGCATCATTGGGGTGGTCCTGGGAGCAGAGGCTTCAAGGAGGTACAAGAAGGTCAACCCGCGGGCTGAGCCCCTCATCTGTGCCTGTAGCCTGCTTATTGCTGCCCCCTGCCTCTACCTGGCTCTCATCCTGGCCCCGGTCACTCTCCTGGCCTCCTATGTAAGTGAGGGCCCCTGGGGCGGTGGGGGGGGGGGTCTGGTGTGTCGCTCCCGTTCACATGGGCTGATACTGTGCCCGGTCTCTACTTCTGTCTATCACTCCTCCCGGGGAGCATTGGGTATGCCCATTTTACAGATGCGTAAGTTGAGGTTTACCAGGAGTAGCACAGCTGGGAAGGAACAGAACTGGGATTTGAGTCTGAGCCTTTCTGACTCCAGAGTGTGTCCTCTGAGCCGCTGGTTAACACTTTGGTTGGAGACAGTGGGACTCAGTCATTCCTCGAGGATGCTGTGAGCTCGAGGAGACTTAGGGTACGACGAGGGGAGTGAGGCCCAGATCGGCCACAGCCGTGCCACTGTAGAGTGCTGGTCTGACACTATCCCATATATCCTGTCACCAGGGCGGACCAGGCCAACCAGGCCACAGCGTGGCCACGCCAGCCACAGGCTCACGCCTCCCAGCCTCTGCCAAGGACGCCCTTCCCTCCTGGGCATCTGAATCCTTCTGCTTCTGCAAGGCCCAGTGCAAAGGCTTCTTCTCCAAGAGCCTTTCCAGACCATTCTGTGCTCATGCTTGGGCTCCGGCACCGTGGCGTATGGGGGGGCTGTGTGCACCCCCCCACGTGCCCAGCAGTGTCCCTGGCTCCCCACACCCCAGCCCCAATGGTCCCACCCAAGGGGAAGGGACCCGTGATTCTGCCCCTGCCAGACGGATTCCCCTCCCCCTCCCATGCCGCCCCAAGGTCCTGGGGTCCCCCGTCACGGATACAGATGCCCCTGAGCAGGCTGGACTCAGAAGGCAAATCGCTAACGGCTTTACTAGTCTCCTACCCACGACCAGACCCCACAGATCTTCAGTTACGCTCGTGAACTAAAGAAGCCTGGTCCCATTTCAACCCAGCCTTTGGTTCTGCTTCCCAGTACTCTCCGTCCAGGCCCAGAACATGGCACCGGGGCAAGAGGGAGCTGCGGTTGGTTTGGTCCCGCTCGGCCCACCTCCGCTCTGTTCCCAGGGTGGCCCTCCCCTCCAGGCTGGGCGAGGGCAGCCCGAGGTGGGGCAGGATTCTCTGAGTCCAGAGTCGCTTTGCTGTGGCCCAGACTCTGGCTGGCTCTGCGCTCGGGGGCGCTTTGTGGGTTTAGGAGCTCTGGTATTTGCATCGTCCGATTCTTGGTGCAGGTGACCCTGTCGCCTCCATGGCACGGCTTCCCTCTGCTCGGCTCCGCGGTGGCCCCTCCGGCTCTTCCTGCCCGGACCCTGTCACCGGTCCCCTCTCGTGACCCTCGGGCCCTCCCCGTCCGTGGCGTCTGTCAGACCCCTGCGTGTGCTCAGGATGGGCCTCGGCCCTCTTGTCCTCGCGATCCCGGGTGATGTTCTGGGGTGCCCCCGCGGTGCCCTCTGGCGCGGGAAGGTCAGCATGTCGCTGACATCCTCAGTCTGGGGGTGGGCCGCCCGGAGCCCCTCCCCAGCGTCCGCACTCTTCAAATGAACCCTCCGCAACCTTCCCTCTACATGCCGGGGTGGGGGCGCTTCTCTCCTGGGGCCTGAGGGCGGGGCCGGTGCGTCTCTCGTGTGTCCAGCCGTGGGTGGGCTCCTGCCGAAATCCCTGGAGAGCAGACAGGCCCTGCTGGCTTGCGTTCTGCGCGTGCTCCTACGTAGCCCTCACGGCACCCTCGCGGGGAAGGGCTTCTCACCCCCACTTACAGATCGGAAGACTGAGGCCCAGAGACAGCAACACAGACAGTGGGACAGACGAAACGGAGAGTCAGCCCACAGACGCCGTACTGACCCTGTCGCCCCTGGGGGAGGAGCAGAGCCCGGTGTACACTAGGCACTAATAAGAGCCGGGGTTCCCGCTGACATCCTGGCGGAGGGAGCGGAAGACGGAGAGGGGGCTGTGTGGGCCCGACCTTGCGGGCAGATGGAGGCCCATCACGGGCCTGTCCCTGCATCGGCTGGGGCCGTGGACCCCTGCCAGCCCTGCTTCTGCCACGGTCTTGGTTGGCTCTGGGAGGCGGCTACTTGGCTGTGTTTAGGGGACACAGCTGTCTCCCCCTCTGCAGCCGGGCGCATCTCCAGAGCTGGATGCCTCGTCTGGAAGTGACATTGCGCCTGGCTGACAAAGCCACCCGCAGAAATTCTTCTCGAGGCCTGGCCAAGGGTGAGGGGCTGCGGGGCAGGACGGTGGGCAGGCCCGGGATGCGTCCCGCCTCTGGTGCCGGGAAGCCGCTCCTTCCCGTGGCTCGTGTTCGGGCCTGGGGGGTACCAGCGGCACTGAGCCCCCAGGCCAGGCTCCAGCCTTCCGGGAGCAGCGCGGAACCTTCCAGACCTCCTGGGCAGGAGCCCGCTCCGTGCTTCCGTCTGTGCCTCTGACGTCTAACCGTCGTTCGGGCTTGAGATCCAGGCCCCGGCTGCTTCCCACCCGCCCAGCTCCAGTCACAGAACCCTCCCACGTCCAGGCCCACGCTCCTCTCCCGGTCCCCTCTGCCTGGCGTGGCGCAGGCCTTCTGTCTTTCTCCAGGACCCAGGCCAGGAGCCGCCTCCCGGGCTGCTCACCTTGCTGCTCACCTACCGCAGTTTCTCTTCCCCACGTGGCCGGTGACACCGCGGACCTTCCCGGGCTCCTTGGTGCCTCTGGAACCCAGTCCGGCTCCTCCTGTTGGCACTCGAAGCCCTCGGGGAACTACCCGGATGGCCCTCACGGCCGCGTCCCCCGGGCAGGCCCCTCCTGGTTCCCTCCCCGCCCCGTCCCTCCGTGGAGCTTCCCTGACCGCCGGGCCCCACCCTCGCTCCCCTCCTGGTGCTCTCAGGCCGTCTTCCTCATGCTCTGACCGCTCTCCCAGCCCAGAGGTCCAGGGCGGTTCCCATCTTGCTCAGTGCTGGGCCCGAAACTCAGTGCCAGGCATTCACATCATTCAGTCATTCAACAAACATCGAGGGCCTGCAGAGGGCCTGCTGGTTTAACTGCGGCAGGTACGGCAGCGGATAAGGACTAAGCATCTCTGTCCTTCGGGGGTTACATCCTCGCCGAGGGAGGCAGCGGGCAGGCAAGACAGGAGTGCGCTCCAGGATGTTTCGGAGGATGCAGCGCTTGGGAGTGTGTGGGGGCGGATTTGTGCGGCCGTGGGCTCCCCAGGAGGCGGTGTTGGGCGAAGACGTGGGTGGTCCTGCAGGAGGTGCAGGAGGGCTGGTGTGGGTCGTTAGGGTCCCGGGGCAGATGCACACCTGCTGGGTCTGAGGAACCGCAAGAACCCCGTGCTTAGTGAGGAGGGACGGACGGGAGGACAGGAGGTCGGGGTCGCAGGGGGCCTGCATGCGTCGGCTGGGACCGGCTTGGGCTGAGTGAGGGGGTCTGTCGAGGGGCCCACGTGGCTTGTCCTTTACAGTACGGTGCACTGATCGTCCTGTGTTAGCCAGACTTGCGTTCCCGGCGCGGACCCTGTCTTGGCCGCGCCTTCGCCACCAGAGATGCTGATGTGGGCTGTGGCGATGACCCCACGGAACGCCCTGACAAGTCCTTCTTCCTCTTTCATTTTGGGAGGAGTTTGGGAATGATTTGTGTTAATTCATCTTTAGACATTTTTAGAATTCACAGGGGAAGCCATCTGGTTCTGGGCTTTCGTTTGTGGGAAGTTTCGTGGTTACTGACTCGGTGTTTACTTGTTATAGGTCAATTAAGGCTTTTTATTTCTTTTCTGTCGCTTTCGAGAGTTGGCGGCTTTCTAAGAGTGTGTACCTTTGTGTAAGCGTCTGAGTTGTTGGTGTACGGTTGTTCATAGTAACCCCTTCCAGTCTCCGCGAGGTCGGCAGGCGGGCGCCTCTCCCACCCTGTTTTAGTGACCTGTCCTTTCTTCCTGGTCGGTGTCAGTTCGCTGCCAATTTTGGCTTTATTGATTTTCTCTATTGTTCTTCGGTTATCGGCCCACGTTTAGTAGGATCGGTCTGGTTGCTGCGGACCCAGGCGTGGGCGGCGCTAGGCCATTGCCCTGACCTGGATGGGGCAGCGCGGCTGCGAGGCGTGGCCCAGAGCCACCCCACGGAGGCGGGAGGCGTGGGTGGATCACGCCTGGTGACTCCGTGTGGGGTGTGAGAGAACGTGGAGGCGCGGGGACCTCTCCGCCCGGGAGAGGTGCAGCGGGTTTGGAGGACGCAGTGGTGGGAGGTGCTGGTGGGGACTTGGACGTGGAGTCTGGAGCTGGGGGTCACAACGTCACCCCTGCAAACCTAACAGGTGGGGCCTGGCTGCGGCCCAGCAGGAAGCACCGTCAGCAGGTCTGGGGGCGTCCGGGGCCGATGTCAGAAAGGGTGTCCGGAGAGGGCTGAGGGATTGACTTGTGTTCAGAAGGGGAAGAGTCACTTGGGTCTCTTCCGTCCGTCCGTCCGTCCGTCCATGTACCCCTTCACTTCCCCAGATTCCAGGAACCAAGCCGGTTCTTCCTGCACTGTCTCTGACCATCCGGGGGAAACGGATCTGGCTTCTCGGGAAGGCGGGCCCGTGTGCGCGTGCGTGCCCTGTAAGGTGAATCTATTCAGGTCGTGGATACGCGCGTGGACACGTGTGTCTCGCGTGTGTGCATCTCTGCGGGCCCACGTGGTTGCGCTGTATGTGGACTGCACGTGTGTGTGAGGTGTGTAGGAGCGTGTCTGTGTGCTGTTTCACGGGTCTGTGCATGAGCGTGCACGCGCGTGTGTGTCCAGGCACCAAGCGTCGTGCGCACATCATGTCGACCCCCTGCTCCGTGAGGAGCGATTTGGGGCAGCGTTGTGCGCCTGCTCCCACATTTCTAGAAGTAGGGGCCGCGCTGTGCTGGACGTTTCCTGGCGGTGAGGTTCCCTGAGCTCATGAAGTCTGTTCTGGGGCCTTCCCGGGAGCCCATGCCCGGAGCCCACCTCCACAGAGAGCGTTCCATCTCGTCCCTCCCTCCGGGCCCCTTGGCAGGGGAAGCGGGCTGCTCGGCTGTTAATTAGGATCCAGACACGCACAGCGGGTCTTGGCTCACACCCCCTTCCTTGGCCTCCTTCCCAGAGCTACTGCCCTTCAGAGGAGAAGGGGTTTATACTCGGAGCCCAGGGTAAGGGCTCCACCATTTCCGGCCCGGTGGCCGCAGGACGCGGCTGAATGTCAGCCGCCCGCCTCAGGTGGGCTTTGTGGTCCAGATGGAGGGGCAGGAGTCGGGACGGGAGTGCGTGGGCATCGAGGCTTCGGGAAGACCTGGACATTGTTCCTGCATCTGCACTGCGAGCTGTGTGAGCCGGGGTAAGAGCTTGGCCTTGCTGAGCCCCGGTTCTTGGTAACGTGGGGTGCTAGTCCCGACCTCTCGGTTTCCCTGAGGAGCTCAATGAGCTTCCATGCCTGTTCTAGTCACTATGGGATGTGGTGAAACCCAGCAGTTTTAAAACAACAAAAACACTTGTTTTGCTCATGAGTTTGCCGTTTGGGTGGGTTGGGGGTGGGGATAACTTCCCACTTGAGGTTGACTGGGGGGGCTGGGGCGGGGAGGGCCGGACCATCAAAGGTGGTGGACGCTGGAGCTGTCGGCAAGAACAGCGGCCCGTGACCTTCCCGTGGGGCCGGGGCTTCCTCAAAACATGGTGGCTGGCCCCCAACGACGAGGGTCCCGAGAGGGCCCTGTGACACCATGTTGCTTTTATGACCTGCCCTTGAAAGTTACACAGCATCACTTTTGAGGGAACAGGTGGATATTCAGTGTCTGTTTGGGGTAAATATAATCTGGGCTCCTCCGGGCACCCAGCCATGAAGCCCCACAGGTGTGGGCCACCCTCAGGGGGCTTCTAGTCCCACCTGCTCTTCCGGCCTCACAAGCGAGAAACCTTGGAGTGGGGTCTTCACCCTCAAACCCCTGTTGGGCCCCGAGGGCCTCAAGGTGCAGAGCCCAGCAGGGTGAGGTGGCTGGGAATGAGCAGAAACGTTCGCTCACTTATCAGATACTTCCCGAGCACCTCCGTGTGCCATGCACCATTAGGGGGGAATGTGTTCTGTGGAGACTAACAGAGCAGGGAAAGGGGACAAGAGGAGGGACCGGGGCCGGGCCAGGTGGTCAGCGAGGCCTTGCCGAGATGGTGACACTTCAGTAGCAGAGTGAGGAGCGGAGCTGGGTGGACATCGGGGTACGGTGGGGAGGGAGCAGCCGATGCAGAGACCCTAGGGGGAGAGCATGGCCTGTGTGCTTAAGGAAACCTGGTGGGAACGGGGCGAGCTGGGGAAGAGCAGAGGACGTAAGGTCAGAGGCAACGGCCATGGGGTGCAGAGCCCTGTCCACAGAACAGGCCTCGAGCGTGAGAGAAGTGGGAAATCATGGCAGGATCTCTAGCACATACATGAACTGATCTGACTCGTGGTTTTGTAACAGTGACCTGTTGCTGCGTAACAAATCACCCCCCAAACAGTGAATTGCTATTTCTTACGATTCAGTGGGTTGGCGGGTTCCACCTGTGCTCACTCACGCGGCCGCCTGGACCTGGAAGAAGGCGTGGGCTGGACATCCACGTTGGCCTCCCTCCTGTCTGTCTGTGGGCTCCTGGGTTCTCCTCTGAGTGGATGTGTCCTCTGCTGTGTGGCCTGCCTTCCCACAGGGCTGTCTCAGGGCAGCGCTCCCGGAAAGCACGGATGGAGGCTGCCACGGCTCCCGAGGCCCAGGCCAGGAACAGCAGCACCGCCTCCGTGTCTTGTCGGTCGGAGCAAGGTGCAGGCTGGCCGGGTTCACTGTGCCCGTGCAGGGTGTGGACTCCAAGATGCGTGATCACTGTGTGGCCACTGTCTTCCCTGTGATTTGACAGGGCCTCTCTAGGGGCCGTGTTGTTGGCAGAGTGAGAAAGGACAAAGTCAGAAACAGGGAAACCCATGAGGAGGCTTTCCAGTAAGACAGGCTTGAGCTGCTTGCGGCGTGGGCCCGGGTGGGGTGGAGGAAGTGTGGAGAAGGGGTCAGGTTCTGGGTATGTTTGGGTTAGGCGTTGGGTATCGGGGGAGGGTGGGGAGGAGCCAGGGTGACCCTGGGTTTCGGCAAGCCATCCGAGGCAGCGTTGCCAAATACCAATCCGGGACACTGAGGGAGGGGCAGTGCTTTGTTTCGGAGGGGGTGGGATTAAGAATTCGATTTTCGGGGCGCCTGGGTGGCTCAGTCGTTAAGCGTCTGCCTTCGGCTCAGGTCGTGATCCCAGGGTCCTGGTGGCTCAGTCTTTGTCTGCCTT